TTATTATAGACTAAAATAAAGTATACAATATAATAAATAATTCGATATTTTTATTTATAGTTTAATTTGAAACTTCTAAGGTCATATTTATATCCTTCATAAAGGGTTATGGTAAAAAGGAACTTTTTATGGATGAATTTGGCTTCATCATAATATTGTTTACCTATGCAGAGATTAATTGGTAGCCATTTACACAATTGCTCCAATTACTATTGTGGCCATAATAGTTGTCACAAATGATTGATACAAAAGTTTTAAAAATTACATTAAAAAGAATAAACTCACTAGTAAGAACATTTGTGTATACAGGGCCGGTCCAATGAGTTTTAATGTCCTGGGCGAGATAATAATTTTATGCCCCTATACTTGTACCGTATAATAGACAAAACATAAATAATTTTTTTAAAACAAAAATGTAATAGAAATTATAGTCAAACAATATCATTACTAATACAAATCAAAACCTACAAGGCTACAAATATCACCTAAAACGATGCCTTTGTGCATTTTTTGAAGCAAAAACCTCTATTATTTTACGATAATCAAGACTTTGTAAAAATTGACTTTTGATGCTTAGAATTGCTAATCTGTTCAATCTATGTTGAGTCATCCTGCTTCGAAGATAGGATTTCAAGAGCAAAATATGAAGCAAAATAGAGTCTTGTCTTTCATGATTTCGTCGCTAAGAGCCTTACAAAGGATGCAAGTCTACGCCCTACTGCATCTGAGATGCTGAAAGTATGGTAACATTTATCTACTTGTATTCCAATAACGTAATCTCGTTTCCTTTCCTAATATTAGTTTATTTGGATAAATTACCAAATATAAAAGTCTCTTGTATGTACGTGTACATTTGTTTGTTTAGTTTATTTGGAACAATCTATGCTGACATGTAAAAGAATATAAATATATGTATATATATTACCACTACTTGAACTCCAAGTATATGGATTCAAGTGCTTCATGCACTTTGGTGATACTTGGACATGAGAGAAGGGAAAATGCTCTGTCTTGTAAGGTGTCAGGTTAAGAAAACTGTCCACATTTCAAGTACCGGTTGTTACATGTAATGAACTGCACAGAGTTGAAACGAGGGCTTCTTATTTTTTTTAATGGCTAAGGGGAAAAATAAATGTTTCTTTTCAATATACTTGATCACTTGTAGCTTCACTTGCCTTTTCATTGGTTATAGTTTATACTTTTGACATGAAATCATCATCTCTTTTTTGAAACTTAGCACAAATTTATTGAGAAATGCAAATGTGGAGCTTCTGTAATGTTACCAAAGATTGAGAATGCAAAGCAAACAAGGGCTACAATGGAACATGCACAAGCTCTTGCTCCTGCTGGTTCAGAACTTAATGTATGAATCGTCTTGTTTCTGAATGCAGTTACTCAATTTCTGTTGTATGCATGCGTATTTACTTTACCTGGTACTGACTGACTACCAATTTGGATCAGACACTTAAGGTTCATATTGATGCCCCCTTAAACATACTGCCCTGGGCTAATGCCCATCTGACATATGTATTGGGTCGGGCCAGTGTGTATATCAACTCACAAGAAAATCTCATGCTTCGGAGATGTATCAACTTATCATGATCTATTGTTTCGATACTCAAGCTATGATTAGGGATGACAACGGGCCGGGTTCGGGCTGGGTATTGGTCCCCGTCCCCGTTTAAAAAACCCATACTCGTTCACGCTTAAAAAATCGCGAAGATTTAAACGGGGATCCCCATTGGGTAATCGGGGAAAACCGCGGGAAAACGGGTATCCCCGTTTAGCATAAACGGTTATTTAAACGGGTATCGGGCCAGATATATATATATATATATATATATATATATATATATATATATATTAAATTAAATATATAAATATTATATATATTTTTTTAATTTAAATTAAATTTATTAATATTATATATATATATAATTATTATTTTTAATATTTATCGGGACGGGTATCGGGCCGAGTAATCGGGGCGAGAATTACCAAACCCGTCCCCGTTTAGCATAAACAGTTTTTCCCCTTCCCCGTTTAATTTAGTTTTCGATTTTCTTCGTCGGGTTCGGATTTTTTTACTATCCCTAACTATGATGATTTGATTTTAATACCATGTGATCGCTTCGAAAATCGCATGATTTCATATAAATAAATCACCTTGCAATTACTCATTTGACTCACCCCCACCAGTATCGATGAAAAAGATTCTCAATTTTACATCGAAAATCCATCAGCGTCTCATAAAAGCAATAACTCAAGACAGAAAAGAACAACTATTTATGGGGTTTGGGAAAATATAAATATTTCTTAAAGAACAAAGAAAAATGTTGAGAGAAGCTTAAAAAGCGAAGCTTGGTTAATTATAATAGGACTAGGAAAGTGTTTCTATGACAAAAGGAAAAAGAATATTCAGAGTGGCAATTGGCAAAGGCTGGCAAAGTAAAACAACAATCATAGAAAGCGTATATGGGACACAAACAGTGATAAAGTAAAAGCAAACCAAACCAATGTATCGAGTTCTTTTGTTTTTTTAGTTGATTTTTGCTTTAGCTGTTGTGGGTTATTTCTCCTATGCAAAAAAGTATTTAAAGTGCGTCACTTTACTCGTTATTCTGCCCCGGACAAAGTCTGTTGAATGGTTCCCTTGATGCTTAGCACCAGAGCTCTCATCAATCATTTTAGACATCCCGAGCTTAAAAATAAGAGATTGAGATGGGTTTTCAGGGGAGATACCAGGTTACACTGTTATGACCCTCAAGAAATAGAGAAGAAAATAGACGAAGAAGAGAAGAAAAGATGAGAGAGTAGACGAGAGAATATAGATTCAAGAGAAGAAAAAGTTCATTCTTTTCACACATGAAAACTATATTTTGCAGTACATGGTTATTTAATCACAATACACTAGGTTTCCTCCTATTTTGGCTTGGGCTTATCCTAAGGCCCTTGTTTCCCTTCCTTTTTTTCATGTTAATTTTCCCATGTGAGTCACATGCTCCTCTTTTAATTTCTCTTCATCAAAATCCCCCAATTCACTACGTGCAATCCTTAATTTATTTTTTGAATCCCCAATGCCCTTCGCTTCGTGCTTCTCCTCCTCTCTCCCAACTGTGACAATTCCTTCCCTTTTAGACGATCCTTGTCCCCAAGGATCAAAGTATCGAATTTGTGATAGCAAGACCACAAAATCCTTCCAAGTTGCAAAAAAAGGAAGTCCATCCCAACTAATTAGCCATTGCTTGTAACGAACAACACCCAATATCACATGGTTAAAATGATCCCTATGATGCACCCTCGAAACATGTCCCAATCCCATCAAATCAACATTGGCTAAAATCACTTGTGCAGTCCATTTGGCCAACTTATTCGCATTGTTCTTCAACTCAGTAGCCAAAACCGCACCCCTTTGAGTCTCCAACTTCTGCCTCCAATCAACACGTACTTGTGATCAAACTCCTTAAGTGCATTCAAAGTAAGGAAAGACTTCTGGTTATTAACATCAACAACACTCTGAATCTCACACCGAGCATCTAACTGCATATCATTATCAAGCTTCCACCTTATATACCTATAAGCAACAGAAGCCACTTCATCGCCTTCATTGACAAACGGATTTAGCTCATCGAAACTAACCTTATTCCCATGCCTAACTAAAATCTGCTGTGAAAACTTCAGATTTATATATGCAGCTTCAACGCTCAAGGAATAAGCTGAGTTAATATTATCTTTAACTTCAAGTAATGGCTCCTGAGATGTCTCAAGGACAGACAACAAATCCAATTGTGACCCATCTCTTTTATAAAAAAATAACATGTTCCCAACTTTGTATGCAACAATAACTCCAACTTTAACAATAGTTAGAATAGCTAAGCCTTTGGCTCCTTTCAAAATTACCAATGGTATAGATCTCTTTGGATTAGACCTATCAACTTGACAATAGCTTTTTAATGTACTGGATGATTTGTAGATCTCATGTACCATGGACAAACCAACTACCAAGTTCAACCAACCACGAGTACAGGTCCAGTCCATGATATAGTGCTTAGTTACTTGCGCAGCATTGTTAATGGTATTGATAAGAACACCCTGCAACGGATCAAGCCTATCATAGCAAGAATTTAATAGGTAGTAAGCATCTTCCCTTAGAACACTTAGAACATGCTCTGCAGAAAATCCCTCCAAAAAACCTGCAATGAAATCTTCCACGTATAAGTGTAGTAAAGAGAGCACTGTACTGCATGCAAATTGTGGTAAAACCATCTAGAATCCACTCCGGAGGCTCAGATTCCAAAACCTCTTTATATGTGTTATAATCTAACCCACTCGAATCCAGAAGCGAAGGGACACTTAGTATATAAACAGAGGAGTACAAATATGTATCCCCATTCTTTATAGACCCAAAAAATGAAACATTAAAACGTTGGTATTATTGATTCACATAAACACTCGAGGAGCCTTTATTACGCCTAGTTACAATTGCAACTAACCCAGTCAACACATTCTTCAAGTTCACATCTGGATGTATGCCATTTTGTATTGAACTACGAAAATCGTCACCAGAATCATATCCTTCGTCAATAAAATCATCAGACTCACCAGAAAACTGATAAACATAGTCATTTTTCATCGACTTTGAGCCAAATGTGAAAATACTCTTATCTTGGAGCTCAGTCCAAACAAATAACCTACTCCATATCATCAACAAAAGTTGAAACACATAAGGATCAATGATTAAGATACGTTCACTGACATTCATAAACACCATGAAATAATTTTCTCTAAACATCGATTGAACTATAAAATTCAGGTTATTTGAATTTCCAGATTTTTGGCACTGTGGAAACTGATTCACATTTACTGTTGAAGAAGAACCGACTAATTGTTTCGTTACCGTTCGAGCTTTTTGAATTGTGCCATCAAAGAGTCTGGGTGAATAAAAAACATGCGATGTAAGAGTAGAAACCTGAATCGATAGGGATATACCGTGAGTTTTCAATGAGAACAACTGCGAAGATCTCGCCATTTTAACATTTTGATGAAGCTGGAAAATGGTGTTATTGATTGATTGAAATTCAACATCTTTTACTCTCACAAGCATTTTATCGAACACATGAGAATTATCATATTTTTGCTCACACTTTTTATCAGCCAAAATCTGTAAAATCATTTCCACATACTTCTAATTCGTTTCCATTATAGATTTCAATGTACTCAATCGACGTTCCTGCTCCTTCCACCATTGAAGAGGTTTTGTGCCATCCGTTGCTTGCTTCACCAGAGTTGTGAGTTATGAAATCTGGTTTTGAATGACAGATAAGTCAGTTGATTCAGAATGACGGACACAAAACAAAGTGAATTGCACTGATCCGCTTTTATGCCAAAATGTACGCCACATACCATTTACAATAACATGAAGAAAGTCTTCCAAAGCAAGATACCTATCTTCCTTCAAACCTTTAGAAGCAAAAGGAGAACATGGTAATAGTTGCTGAAATAAAACCCCTTCGAATGCTAGATCAAGCTTGTGCAGTTCATCAATCAGAAATGGAGAATTTAAAAGGGGCTGCTTCCCTGTGACATCATCCACACCATAGGTTTCCAAAACCCAATCTTGAAGACCCTGCTTAAATAACTCCTGGTCTATGAATTCCCTTCTAAAGTCCTTCAGCACTTTGTGGACTCTTCTAGAAATTTGAAAAAACTTGCTTGAAGATGAAATCCCATACACACTTTGTGTAGAGATAACATCTCCCTTAGAAGGTTTCGATGTCTTTTCTTGTTTATGATCTGGGCTTTTAGTTTCCTGCCCATCATTTTCACTGATTAAAATACTCAAAATTTGCTCAACGTACCCTTGATTAGTGTTCATCCTAGACTCCAACGAACTGATGCGCTGTTCTTGATTCTCCCACCACTTGGGAGGTTTGGTGTCATCGGTTGAGCTCTTCACTAACTGCGTCAAATCCTCAATCTGTTTTTGTATTGCCAAAAAATCAAGGGTTTCCATGAGAGGTTGATTTCTTTTTGGCATAACAGATAGCTAGTGGCCAAGAATATAGGCTATGATACCAGTTTGTTACGACCCTCAAGAAATAAAGAAGAAAATAGACGAAGAAGAGAAGAAAAGATGAGAGAGTAGACGAGAGAATATAGATTCAAAAGAATAAAAAGTTAATTCTTTTCACACATGAAAATTATATTCTGAAGTACATGGTTATTTAATCACAATATATTAAGTTTCCTCCTAATTTGGCTTAGGCTTATCCTAAGGCCCTTGTTTCCCTTCATTTTCTTCATGTTAATTTTACCATGTGAGTCACATGCTCCCCTTTTAATTCATCTTCATTAAAATTCTCTAATTTACTATGTGCAATCCATAGCTCAAGCCTTAACTCATTTTCAGAATCCCCATTACCCTTCGCTTCGTGCTTCTCCTCCTCTCTCCCAACCGTGACATACACATTGACACAAGTCTTTCTTTTGGTCAAGTTTTAGTGTTTGGAAGTTTTTAAGATTCTCTTTGTTGGATATAAAAGAAAGTACTCTTTTTTATGCTTGTTTCAAGTTTCTTTTCATTTTCCCAGTTTTTTTCTCTGGGGTTTTTGATCTATTGTAAGGAATATGAGAATCTCTAAAGAATTGCTTTTCTCTCAAGAATCTCTTTTGCTAATATAATGCTTATTATAGATTATTACTTAAGTATGTTCTTCGAAAAGCTTTAAGTTGGAGTGCTTTCAGTTTTTGGTAGATTTATTTCAGGAAAAAATGTCTTTTGTTAGGAAAGAGCTAATTTATTCTTGTATAGAAATCTTTAGCAACTCTTAACTTAGGGAGTCAGTGCTCTGTTTTCTTAAAATAATGCATTGAGTTGATGTTGGAAATGGCTGAAATCAGAGTTTCTAGGTTAGATCAAGGCCAAACCAATATTAGAGATGTCCTAATTGCAGTGACCCCTGAAGGTTTTTGGTGTTGTCCCTCTACTGTTGTGTTCCAAAAGACTCTCAAATCACAAAAGCCTCTAAACAAACCCAAATCCTCCTTACCTCCACCCAATATTTGTGTTCACAAGAAACAAATCCCACAAACTGAGAAGAAGCCGATGAACACTCCAATAAGATCAGTAGTTACTTATGATGATCAAAGAACTTCTACTTATGTTAATCATGGCATTAGTGCATTGATTGTTCCGGAGAGGTTGCCGAGGCCTAAGGTAGAACTTGTGCCTAGGAATGAGGCAATTGAATACGGTGAACCAGGAACCAGTGATATGAAGTTGATTCTACTTGGGAAGCAAGGGTTTTGTGTGAAATTGAGTTTCCACAAGAAAGTTCTATTGGAGTATAGCTGTTTTCTCAGTGATAAACTTTCTGAACAGGAGTTGATTTGTCTTACCTAGAAATTGATGACTGCGAGGACGTCAAAAGTTATGTCGAAACTGTGAGATTGATGTACTGCAAAGAGATGAAGCAGCGATTAATGAAACAAAGTGTTTCACACGTGCTCCGCATTCTCAAGGTAATTTGCACATTCAGGCTAAGGCCCTTCTATTTTTAGGAGCTGAATCTTGTTATATTGTGCATGCAGAGAATACCTTTTCTGGTATGTTTCCAATCTTAGTAAATAATAATCGTTATAGTGTACTCAACTATTGTCATATATCTCTTTGAACTTGATAAATGCCAGTGAAAAGACATACCTGCACTCCGAGTCTCATTTGTTACTTTAAGAGTTAAGACCCTATATTTCTTACTGGATTTACTCTGCAAAATTCATACGAATATAATCTGTCTATACCCTTCTTTTCCTCTTATAAATGTGCCTAAATTTTGGTACGTAGGTTGTGTACTTGGATTTCATGCTTACCAGGTTAGAAATCAAGATATCCTGTGATGTGGTTTGATTTATTTGTTTTGCCATGTAATATTTGTGTATTGAAAATCCACCAGGATGTTGATGGGCATCCAAGATTTTGTTTAGTCAAAAAAATTCAACATGTGTAGTACGTATTTGTTGAATGTCTCTTTTTTCTATATGTGAAGCTAGATGGTGGGTGTTAATTAGTTTTGTTCTGATATGAAATTTCTCGCTCCGTGTCATGAACTTCTTTGCAGGTTGCTGAACTACTTGGCTTTAACTCGTGCATACAATCATGCTTGGAGTACTTGGAAGCAGTTCCTTGGGTTGGCGAAGAGGAAGAAGAAAAGGTGATCTCTTCAGTTTTGCGACTCCAGGGTGAAGGAATTGGGCTCACGCCAGTATTAAAGCGCATCTCTTCTAATGTCTGTAATCCCCCCACCGAAACGATTTCACATCTAATGGAACTTGTTCTTAAAGGTAATGAGGAGAGAGGCCGGCGTGAAATGAAGTCTATAGTATTGAAACTTCTTAGGGAGAATAATAGCCTCCCAAGTTATGCTGCTCCAGCTGACATCTGCATTGAAACTGTTAATGCATTGTGCAGAAGCTGCTTGGATTCACTCTTATCTCTATTCAAACGAGCAGCTGAACCGGAATCGACCGATAAACCCACGGACACCAAAGAACTTGTGGTCAAACAAATAGCTCTGGAAGCGGATAATCTCTCATGGTTGCTTGACATTTTGGCTGACAGGCAATCAGCAGATGACCTTGCACTAATGTGGGCTAGCCAGCAAGAGTTAGCAACATTACATTCAAAGCTGCCCATTGTCTCTCGGCACCATGTTAGTTGTATTACAGCTAGATTATTTGTTGGAATTGGAGAAGGGGAAATGCTACCAACAAAGGACACCAGTCAATTGTTGTTACAAACATGGTTGCAGCCGTTGATCAATGACTACAACTGGTTGCAACACGGATACAGGTCATTCGATCACAAAGTTGTGGAGGAAGGCATTGGTAGGACAATTCTCACGTTGCCTCTAGAGGATCAGCAGAGCATTCTGCTCGCTTGGTTGGGCAGTTTTCTCAAGGCCGGCGACAAGTGCCCAAATCTTCAGAGGGCTTTCGAGGTATGGTGGCGACGAACTTTCATCAGACCTTATACAGACGCCCAAGGCAGTGTACTTCACTCTCATAGCTCAATGACCCTAAAGCAGTAAAAGACTAAAAAAAACAACAATACAAGTGAAACCATTTGTAAATTAATAGGAGTTACCTTTACGTTTCAGTAGAGCTCACTCACTTCAGCTTAAAATATGAAATGTGTGTTACATACTTTGATCTGGCAATTATCTTGTCAATCCACCACATAGTTTCTTATCTTCCGTCATTTTCTTGGTTGCCAATCACCAACATTTATGCATGCTGTTCTTTTACTATATCATTTTTTTATTTAAACAAATAATATCTAAAATCAATTAATTATAAAAACCACAATCATCTCCTAACACACGTCCTGCATATCAAATATTTGTTAATTGGATTAAATGAAAAAGTACGAATAACAATACAAGCTTCACAGAAAATAATTAATTTTAATAAGTCTAGTTTTAAATAATTAGTATTTTTATTTTTTCCATGTTTTAGTGAACTCTTCTATTTCATAATCTTAATATATTTAGATAATTAGTATTTATCTAATTTGTATTTAAATAATTGATAAAAATTAGTCGTGTTAATAAATACTTAAATTTGTGGTTTGATAAATAATTGAAACAGTTGTGTTATTTGAATATAAATACAGTTTTTACATTAGAATTAGTAAAATTGATATTTACGATAAAAGCAAAAAAGATACTCTATTCACGAATGATCTCTACGTGAACCAATCGGATAACATTCAATAATCGTATAAAATATAATGAGTACAAACGCATACCATACACATAAAGTAATCAAAACAATAGGTGAAGTGCAAACCTTACCGTCATGATTACAATATTGCATCCACTCAAATTATCCAAAAAAATATATATTTTTATTACTATGCAAACTAATAAATAAAATTGTAGGTACTATAATATTAATATGACACATATCTTTGCTCCTGTTCCTTCATTGATTATCAATCACATATCCTTACGTTAATATGAGCGAGATTGTGATTTAAATAGTGACTTATATACTCGTAAAAAAATTAATTACCTAAGGATGGGAGAGAATGAGATTAAGACGTGAGTACTTAGACAAAGAAAAAGTAGACGATACCACACCTACGATTGTAGAAGCATTGGGCATCCAACAATAACGTTTTTACTCGGATGAGTCCATATACACATTTCTCTGAAGAAAATGTTAAAATAATTGATCTTCAGAAAATATTCACAGACGAATATCCTTACCTCTATCTTTCGAGTGATTTTCCTCTAGGGTGTTAAATTTTTTTATCCAGCTAACTCAAGCAGATTCGACCATCATTGTATTCTTCAAATATCTTCTCAAATAACTTTTCATACATATAATGTCATTTACTAGTAATCCCACCGATCAGAACACGACCATCTATTAGGAGGTCTCACTGGAGTGCAACAACTTTTAGAATGAATGTGTACTCTAAAAACCTCATAAATAATAATAAATAACATACCTTCCAAAATTTTCTTAGAAGCTTTTCTTTTTAAATCTTCTTGGTGAGAAAATAAAGCGGGAGTAATGCATAAACTTATGGGGAGGAAAGGCGCATTTTGCAGGACATATTTTTCTCAACTTTTAATATTTTAAATAGTATAAGACATGATTTTTTAATTAATTTTGTAAGAAGATGCACCGCTTAATTCGTATTCCCTTTCTCGACATTATGTGTCACTTAACATAAAAACATACTCAAATTACATCCTATATAACGTACCTTTTCCTTTACAATATATTAAAAAATAAGAGTTATTTCTATAATTAATTCATTTGAAGTGTTATTTGTTTGAAAATTTTAGAAATGATTAATTTTACCTATCTCTGTCTAGTTATAGGTACTGTGGTAGCTAGTCTACAACCCTACATGGGCTGGAGTGGCAGTAGGGCAGCCTAAGCCTATGAAGAGTCAATGACTCTCCCTATCCTAACCCCCTGGATGCATGGTTGAAGCCTTAATATATCAATTTATTTCTGCTACAATGTAAAAACAATGGGGAGAAACTGCAGAGTCATGGTTGGTGGACGGGCTTTGGTTTGATATACTACCATTTTGTGCTAAATGGAAGGGTCCTTTCTCATTTA